TGTCGATGTGCAACGAGAAGGTCCCCCTCCCGACGACTCGCTCGACGAACCCGCGATTGTGGACCCCGACACAGGACCGAGGATCCCGGGGCCTGTGGCGGTTCCTCAGGAAGAGACCGGGCCCGAGGAAAGGAGCTCTCGACCCAACCCTTCTCGGGTCGGGCCCATGGGCCTCCCGAGGCCACCTTCCTCGAGGGCGGGATCTCGAGCCGGATCTGTGGTGGCTCAGCCAGGTTCGAGACTGCCCTCAATTCCTGAGACTCGAGAGCCGTCCGAGATGGCTAGGTCGATCACCCCTCCTACTGCCCCTCCTTCTCCTCGCCGGGATGAGAGGGATGATGAGGGATCGGGGGAGTCCAGGGGTCCGACGGACGCCCCCGGACCGCCGGGAGAGGCGTCGAGCGGGAACAGTGACCCTGCTATCCCACCTCCTCCCGCTCCTGTCTCCTTACCTCCCGCTCCCGCTCCGGCCGAGGGGAGACAGAGTCGAACGAGGCTGAGGCAGCCATCCGACGTGCCCCTGTGCATTGCGCGAGCTCGGGCAGAGAGCTGCCCGCCCGAGATGAAGAGGGCCAAGACGGAGGGGGGCTCCGACTCCTCGGCGCCAGCCCCGCCCGAGGTACCGAGCCCGGGGGGGGCCTCTCTCCTCCCTCCCTCTCCCGGGGTTGGTGGTGGTGGTGGTGGCGGTCCCGGGCCAGGACACTCCCAGGAGCGTCCTCCCATGATCCCGGGTAGTGAGCCAGCGGCCTCCGTCCGTGACCGTGTGAGAGCGATTGAGGAACGTGGTCGATCAAGATCTCCTAGCGGCACCGGGTTTGAGGGGGCCACCGAGGATTTTGGGCTGGCGGCCGAGCAGGGGGGCGTTAGGGTTTTCCCCATGCAGTCGAGCTGGACCGGGGTCTGTGAAGATGGCGGCACTTTCGCCACGGGTCGAGGGGCCGAAGTTTCTCCGAAGAAGCTCTCTCCGGCCGAGCGGGCCAAGTTTAGTGCCTCGGACCAGAAAGAATTGGCTGCTATGATGGGGGCCGGGGCCGTTCGAGTCGTTCCTCCGGCTAAGGCGAGAGTCATCCGTCGTGAGCTCCCGGACAGGATCATATCCAGCCGGATGGTTCGTAGGTGGAAGCCGGTGGAAGGAACGTTTGCCGAGCCGGAGGCCAAATCTAGGTGGTGCGTGCACGGCCATCGCGACCCGGACTCGGGCTCGCTGGCAGTGTACGCACCGACTCCCCAGACCTCGTCGATCATGATGTTTCTGCAGGTTTCGGCCAACCTGCGTCAGCTCTTGGACATAGCCGACGTTAAGAACGCCTTTTGTCAGTCTAACCCCATGCAGCGTGCTGCAGGTCAGATCTTCGTTGAGCCCTGCGAGGGCATAGACCTGGAGCCGGGGGCCCTCATCGAGCTTCTGGTGAATGTGTATGGGTTGGACGACGCCCCAGTGGCGTGGAGGCGCACGGTAGTTAGTTATCTAGAGCAGAACGGCTTTGTCCGAAGCCTGTTGGAACCGTGCTGGTGGATGCGTTACGGGTCTCAGGGCCAGATCCCCAACATGATGTTGCTAGAAGTAGACGACTTCATGATCGGCAGCTGCGACTCGACCTCGAGAGCCTGGATTCGGCAGTTGCTGGAGGCCAGGTTCAAGTTCGGTAAGTACAGGGACTGCCACGAGAGTCCCGTGGACTTCGCCGGACGGCGGATCACGCTTGGGGAGCAGAAGATAACCGTCGATCAAGAAAAATACATCCTTGAGGAGATTCGGTCTTTGAGTTTAGCTAGGGGAAGAATGTCTCGCAGTGATCCCCCACTCGAGCCTGATGAATTTCGAGCACTCAGGTCCCTGGTATATAAATTTAACTGGGTCGGCAGGGAGTCCAGGCCGGAGGCCGCAGGCATAGCCTCGATCCTGGCCAGTCGTCTGAAGAGTGCGACGATCTACGATGTCTCTTGTGCCAACAAGTTAGTCAAACATCTTCGGACGACGGCCTCTCGAGGCCTGACGATTTGGAGCCTGGACCCGGACCGCATGGCGTTTGTGTCGTTTTCCGATGCCAGGGGAGTAGGAGCTGACATCAAAATGAATGATGATCGGGGGCTCCCGGCCGACCCAACCCAAGGGGCTTGGTTGGTGCTGGCCACTGACAAGTCCGTGCTGTTGAATAGCTCGGTCAAGGCGTCATTCCTGGGCTGGAGGAGTAGTAAGCTGAGACGTAAGGTCCCGTCCACTCTGGCCGGGGAAACCCAGGCATTGTCCGCCGCCGTGGCGGAGGTGGAGTACCTTCAAGTGCTCTGCCGGGACGTGATGTTCCAGGATGTGGATGTCCCCGAGTGCAGAAGAGCCTCAGGGCCCTTCACTACCGTGCTTCGTAGAGATTGTAAGTTGGGGTCCCGGGAGAACCAGGTGCATGTCGTAGACGCAAAGTCCATCTACGACACGATGTTGAAGGAGGGGAGCGCCAGCGCCAAGGACAGGCGCACTGCACTGGACCTCGCAATTATTTGCGAAGCACTAGAACGGGCGCGCGGAAGCGTGCGATGGATCCCGCACGGCAGGATGCCAGTCGATCCACTGACGAAGGATGACATCACCAAGAGCAATGCCGCCCTGGCCGACCTCATGACACGAGGCCGACTCATCCTGGTGGACGAGAGCTCTGAACTGGATCGCCGCCGAGCGGCGCCAGAGCTCAAGGACCGCTCCCAGCTAGCGTCTCGGAGACAGTTGGCCCGGAGTCAGAGCATGCTGTCGTGGCAGGAGTTCCAGGACCAGGAGCTCTACCAGGTGGGTGGTGGTGGTGGTGGTCCTGCCTCCCCCCTTTCCTCTCCCCCTCGGCCGGGCGGTCCTCCCGGCCTTCCTCCACCATCATTTCAATAGTTTTCCGTCGTTGCTCTCATTCTTGCCTTGTTTTCTTGAATACGGCCGTCCTGGGGGGCGGAGGCTTCCATAGAGAGCCGCGACCGTGTACTGCGCTTTTCCGCGAATGGGTGGTCACAGTTCTCCTGACATGGGGAGAGCTGAACCTAGAAGAAAGTTTGACCAGTGTTGCAGTGAGGCAGATTTTCACCGATAGGCTCAGCGTCAGGAGCTTCTGTCCGTGACCAATTGTGGCTCAAGGGTAAAACACCTAGTCTGTCTCCGTCTGCCACATGGGGATCGCTCCTGAAAAGGCTTCTAGATGGTTTAAGCCAGTCATCTAAAAATGACGATTTCGACAGGGACATCCTGAAACAATGAATGTGTGTCACATCGGACTGTAACGGTTTTGTAAGGCATCAAGAAGGCCCCCAAAGGCCCCAAACAAGCCCAAACTTGACCCCCAGGAGTGCCCTCGGGACGATCCAAGATGGCGATTTCGCTTGAGACATCCTTACAACAATGAAATGTTCACAACATCGATTTCATCAAACATGAGCGTTTCGCCTGAGACATCCCTTAAACATGGGAACCCGCGAATTCGACAGATGTTCAAAAACTAGCGTCCCGCCTGAGACATTCTAACAAAAAATGATATCTTGGAGTGGCGGTTTCAATACCTCTCATGTTTAAAATCGCGCTCTCGCTGCATACATCCTCAAAACATCGGGCGGAGCATGGCCGGCGAAAAAAATGCTCCTTCGCTCTTGACGTCTATTCTGTCGTGCTCTTTCGTTCTTGGGGTTTATTCTGAAATGCTCCTTGTTTTTTTTTGTGCCGTGCTCCTTCGCTCTTCTAGCCTATTCTGCCATGCTCCTGGCCAGTTTATGTCACAATCCTTTGTTCTTTGGGCTTATGATTCCGTGCTCCTTAGCTCTTGGGCCATATTCGGCCGTGCTCCTTCGCTTTCGGGGTTTATTATGCCGTGCTCCTTGCGTTTTTCTTGCATACTCCTTCTTCCTTGGGGCGTATTATGTTGCATTCTTGCATCTATCTCGCCGTTCTTCTTAGCTCTCGCGGTCTATTCTGCCGTGCTCCTGGTCACTGGTCGTGTTTTGCAATGCTCCTTCTTTCCTGGCGCCTATTCTGCCGTGCTCCTCAGCTCTTGGGGTCTATTCTGCCGTGCTCCTGTTGTTTTTCTGTCATGCTCCTTCGCTCTTGGGGCCTCTTCTGCCGTGCTCCTCAGCTCTTGGGGTCTATTCTGCCGTGCTCTTTTTTTTTCTGCCGTGCTCCTTCGCTCATGTGGCCTATTCTGCCGTGCTCCTGGTCTTTTTCTGCCGTGCTCCTTAGCTATGGGGTCTATTCTGCCGTGGTCCTGGTGTTTTTCTGCCGTGCCCCTGAGTTCTGGGGGTCTATTCTGCCGTGCTCCTGGTCATTTTCTGCCGTGTGGCTTCGCACGTGGGGCATCTTCTGCCGTGCTCCTTGTCTCTTCGGGCCTATTATGCCGTGCTCCTGGTCTTTTCTGTCGTACTCCTTGGCTCCTCGGGCCTTTTCTGTTGTGTTTCGGTCTTTTCTGCCGTCGTCCTTAGCTCTTGGGGCATCTTCTGCCGTGCTCTTGGTCTTTTTCTGGTGTCTTTTTCGCTCTTGGGGCCTATTACGCCGTGCTCCTTAGCTCTTGGGGTCTATTCTGCCGTGCTCCTGGTCTTTTTCTGCCGTGCTCGGCAGCTCTTGGAGTCTATTCTGCCATGCTCCTGGTTTGTTTCCGACGTGCTCCTTCGCTCATGGGGCCTATTCTGCTGTGCTCCTGGTGTTTGTCTGCCGTGCTCATGTTCGTGCGAAGTATGCCTGCAGACGGGCGCGGGATTGAGGGGCCCAGCGACATCGACTTCTCCATTCTATCACTCCATTATACTATCGCTCAAGTCTTGAAAGGTTCGCTCGCATGGGCCTCGCGCGCGGCCCCCTTTCAGCGATCGCGGCCGGGGTCATCCACGGGCTGGTGGCGCTTGGAGCCTGGCGGGTTGCGCCCCCGCCGGTGTGCCCTCGGCCCGTCTGCCCGGCTGCCCATTGCCCCTTGCCCACGGGGCTCGGCCCGCCTGGCGGGGATCCGCCCGCGGGGCCTGCGGCTCTCTTGGCTGAGCTGCCCGAGGAGCTGGCGGAGGTTCGCGCTGCGGCCGCGCGATTGGACGACCGCCTCGCTGTGCTGCAGGCGACGGCGGAAGCGGTGACGAGCTTCTGGCCCCTGATCTGGGTGCTGATTGGGGGGCTCGTGAAGGACGCCCTCGACAGGATCCGCCAGGCCCTCGCTCGCCGCCGCGATGCTGTCTGCGAGGAGGTACCAGCTCTTCGCGGCGGACGGGAGCGTCGTGGGCAAGCCGGCCTGTATGAGTGAGATGAGGCCAGGCCGCCGTTCTGCCCTGTGGTATTCAGATGATACATACTGGCATGAGAGAGTTGCCCTGGCGCATGTGCGACCAGGAGCGTGGGTCATCACCACCCCGGACGGCGACAGGTATCCCGAGAACTTGCGATGCCGTCGGGGTACCAGCGGCGCGGTTAAGGCGGTTCTGGTGGATCCAGGGCAGCCCGTGCTGGATCGCATGCGCGGTCGCTTCTACCGTTTCAAGGACCCGCTGGAGCCCTCGGACTTGGTGGAGCAGGTCAAGATGGCCGAGGCGGAGAGCTACGCTATCACGCGCCGTGCTCCTGCGCCGCCGGCCGCCATCATGATGTGGGGCGGCGCGGACGTGGAGTACGAGCCCCTGATGGCCTCGGAGGGCGTCCAGCTGGTGCCGCTTGGCGGTGGCGGAGCGCCTGTCCACGGTGAGGAGCCGGCGCCGGCCCCCTTGCCGCCGCCTGAGCTGCCGCCAAATGCGACCTGGCTCATCGTGAACCCGCACCCTCCCGACTTCGGCCGAGAGCGTCATCCTGGCCCGGATGCGCCCCGAGCGGGAAAGTACGCGATCGCGCTTGACGCGCGGAGGAGGCCAGCACCTGTCCGACAGGTCGCGCTGGCGGACGTTGAGACGTTCATGGCATCGGCGCGGACAGGAATCGCCAAGATCCTGGAGGGCGAGGCTGGCCCAGTCACGGGGCATCTGGAGGAGCGGCTTCACCATGCGCTGGATGGCGGCACGAAGACGCCCCCCATCGTCGAGGACGCGAGGACGTTGACGGTTGACTACGATGAACACGGAGAACGATACAAGGAGTGGAGGTCCGTATGTGCCGAGATCTCGTATAACCATTTTGGCGACTGGGATAAAACCACGAGGGGCCCGCCACCACGTTGGCCTTGTTCAAGAACATTCAGAGACAAGGCGGTGACCCCCGGTTGTGGTACGCCAGCTGGTGTCGCGAGGCCGGCGTCAGTCCGCAGGAGAGAACGGGCATCGAGATGAAGCTTTTGACGATGTACTGTACCTCAGTGGCTGCTACGACCAGTTGAATGGTCCCTCGCTCGCGCGCATCGAGACCGTAGCTCACCGTGTATGTTAGATCATCGAGGCCCTTTCGACGGGCGCGCCTGGTCGTGCCAACTGGGAGGGCGTGAAGCATTTCACCCCGGTGGCTTCAGCATCACCTGTGGCCCCTGCTGAGCTACGTTCCCACGCGCACCGCGGTGCCAAGGAGGAGATGGAGATCGAGAGCACGCGGGTGCGCGCGCGGGGCCTGCAGCCGCCTGGAGGGCCAGGGGCGGCGCCGCATGGCGCGCCCGTCAACCCGAAGGGCACCCCGAAGGGCGGCGGTCGAGGCCGTGGCCAGCCTGGGCAGGGAGTTGGCCAGGAGGGCGGCGGGAAGGTGCCCCTGGCGCCACAGGGGTGAGTTACTGGGCCAGCGGCGAGGGTGGTCGACTCGACGCTGGAGGCCCAGACCAGGCGGTGTCCGATGAGCGAGTGAAGCGCGTCAGTATGCTGCCTCTTTTTCCTCTTCCTCTCTCCCAGCTGTCGCCTCTGCCGAGTGGACGTGGCCGACAGGCGACAGGCCTGCGAGGCCATTTGCGACGTCTAAATGCAGATGTCAATGCAACTTTGAAGGCTTTGAATTGGATGGCGGGTGACCGACGTAAGGCCTCCAATGGGCCCCCGGTCACCTCAGAGCAGGCCAGCGTGCAGGCGCGCGTCCGGGACAGGATTCCGTCCCTTTTGAGTTCCGGCGTTGCGATCCCTGGCCAGCGAGCGGCTTTCCTCGAGCTGCTGCACGGCCGGGCTGTGTATGATACAGGGCCCGGTGGACACAACCTTGCCAGTTTCTCCAATGTTGCCTCTGTGAGCCTTCCTGACAGCCTCGAGGGCGCCCCGATGGTGGAAGATGTTGTTGGCCCAGAGGCTAGCCAGTTTTTGGGGCAGAACTACGAGCGCATGCTGCGCCCTCTCTCGGATTTTTTGGAGCGACGGCAGTCGTTGCCCCCTATAAAGCCCTGCTGGGACCCTGTGCTGGCTCGTAGTCGTCGCAAGTTTCTGCGGCTCATGCGAGCCCTCCGTAAGGTTGGTCTGGTGATGCTGCTGCCTGCTGGATCAGCCCAGGAGCATGTAGGCATGTTTTTGTATGGAAAAAGGCAGGGAAAAAAGCAAAAGCCGTCTGATAATAGACGCACGACGTGCGAATCGCCGTTTCGCTGAGCCCCCTGGGGTTCACCTTTGTTCCAGTGAGAGCCTCGCAAAGATTGAGGTCATTTTGCCAGGCTCTGTTTCAAGTCTCTCTCCCGAACAGCTCACTGGCGCCCCGATGTCTCTGGGGCTGGCGGATGTGAAAGACGCGTTCCATCGTTTCCGTATTCCAAGTGGTCTGGCCAGTCACTTTGGGTTAGGACCGGCTACGGCGGGGGAGCTGAGCGTCGTTGGACAGAACCTTGATGGGGTCCTCTTGGGTGGTGACGACCAGGTCGATATCTGCTGGGCCTCTTTGCCGATGGGCTTCTCTTGGTCTCTGTACTTCTGCCGGCAAGCGGGTGAGCAACGCATGAAAAGCGTCCCAGGGCTCACGACCTCGACCCTCCTCCAGGACCGCGTGGCGCCAGGGCTGTTTCGTTTCTCGGAGCGCTTCGACCCGTCTACTGGGGCCTCTGCGGCGGAGGTTTTTGGGATCTGCCACTATATCTATGTGGACAACCTGGGTGTGATTAGCTGCGACCCTGTCAGTACTTCGTCGACGTTGTCGGACGCCTCGGATCTGGTCGAGAAAGTTGGCCTGAGGACCCACGATCACGAGGTGACCTCAGGCAAGTCGAAGGCTCTGGGGACTCACTTGGACCTGGAGGGCTTTCGTGTGTCCCTCTCGCCTGCCCGTCTCTGGAAGGTTCGACAAGGGGTGCTGTGCGCCTTGAGGTGCCGGAAACTTCCCAGACGCGTGTGGGAGGTGCTGCTTGGTCACCTCACGTTCTGCGCCCCCATCAACAGGAACATGATGAGCGTGCTTAGGAGCATCTACGCACTCATTAACAAACATTATTGTGTGCCCACAGCGTTGTGGGAGACCGCCCGACAGGAGATGGCCGCCGTCGCGTCCTTGCTGTTCGTGATGGATGCCTCTTGGACTCTTCCCTGGGCCCCTAGCGTGGTGGCGACAGACGCGTCTGAGGAGGGTTCGGGGCTACCGTCTCTTATTGGGCTCCTGATAAGGTGGCTCAGGTGGGAAGGATTATGGAGAGGAGACGCTTCAATGGGCTTCCTGGGGTTTCGGCGCGGGGAAGATTTTTCGGCAGCTTGGAGGATCTTGGATCGGATGGAGAGGGGTCCGATGACGATCAGCCCTACTTGGTAGACTCCGACTTCCCCGAGGTCCCACACAAGCAGCTCTCCAAGGCCAATTGGGACACCCTCTTAGCAGGTCCCTGGAAGTACTTGGACGAGGGCATCTATACCCTCGAGTCGCGGGCCCTCCTTCTGGGCTTCCAGGCGGTGGTCAGTACCCATCATGTTCGTGATGCTAGATTGTTGTTCTTGGTCGATAACATGGGAGTCTGCCTGTCTTTCGCACGAGGTCGTACCACGGACTTCCGCTCTCTGTGCATGCGGAAGATGGGGGCCTGGTGTCTCAGTTTGGATCTTCGCGTGCATTTGCGTTGGATACCCTCTGAATGGAATTCAGCAGACAAACCATCACGAGCCTTCTCAGTAGAACATGGTGGCTCTTCAGATTTTCCTGTTGGTGTTTATCATGCTCCATTCGAGCCAGATTCCGACGAATGCAGCAAGACTGATGCTTCGGGGAAGGCCTCCGAAGGCCAAGCTCCGCCCGAAGGCCAGGCTGGCCGGTCAGCCCTCGGGGTCAGCGTCCGCCCCAGCTCCCCCGACATCTTCGAGAGCGCTGGTGCCGGTGGCGAGCCCTTCGTCGGCGAGCGCCCCGAGGCAGGCCAGGCTGCTGGCCCCGGGCGGCGAGCTGTCTTCACGACTGGTGACAGCCGACCGCGCGCCGCCGGCGGACAGACCTCTGGGCAACAGCTCAGAGACAGAGGCGACGGGGGCGGACGGGACCAGCGACAAGATATCCGACACCGATCGGATCGTGGTCAGACCCCGGCGCCGTGCTCGCAACCTGGAGCTCCCTCGACCGACGCGGCCCCGATTTCCAGTGGGACCAGATCGGCTTCAGGGGCTCGGACTGCTGCCCTTGGAGTCCAACGCGGTGAAGGCCACCGCGGAGAACCAGTGCCACGAGCTGGTGACTCTATGGAGGTCCAACGCACGCGACCTCGGCGAGCCGCTCGGCGAGGCTGCCGGGGTGGACGCCTCAGTGGCGCGGCAGCTTCAAGACTTCTTCGACCAGGGCGAGAACGTCAGCAAGGGCGAGAAGCTCGCGGCTGGTCTGGAGCACTTCCTGCCAGAGTTTGGCCGACATGGAGGGCTTCACCTCTCACGGAGCTACCGCGCCCTCCGGGGCTGGAGGCGCCGGTGCCCACCTCGGTCGCGTCGCCCCCTCGCATTTTGCATCTGGGCAGCGATCAGCTGGGAGTTCTGCCGGGACAACCTCTGGAACATGGCGGTCTACCTTTTGTTTATGCTGGTGACGTACATGCGGCCGTCGGAGCCGCTGAAGCTGCTGAAGGAGGACCTGCTCTCTCCCGCCCACGGCCTCTCTGCCTCGTGGATCTGCTTTGCTTTTCGCCAAGAGCGGGGTCAGTCTTCGAAGACCTACGCCACGGACGAGAGCATCGAGCTCAGTTGCCAGTGGGCCCCTTTCCTTGCGACCGTGGCGACTGCCCTCAAGCGTGGCCGTCCGAAGGAGAAGGTCTTCAGTTTCCTCTACAGCTCGTGCACGCGCCAGTTCAAGACAATGTGTCGACGGCTCGGACTAACTGCGGCGCCATATCAGGCAAGGCGCTCAGGCGCCTCCATCGACGCCGCAATGAAGTACAGGACGAGAGCCGAGATAAAGGCTCGCGGCGAATGGAAGGCGGACAAGTCAGTGCTCAGGTACGACCGCACGGCCAAGATAGTCGAGAGTGTCGACAAGCTGCCCGACTCGCTGGCGTCTCGTCAGAATGTGCGAACTCCGACTCGGGGACCTTTTGTGCGGCCAGATCGACCCCTCGGCCATCGCGCTGCCCGACGTCCCGAGCTCGGCCCCAAAGAAGCGACACCGTACCTAGCCGACCTGTTTGGAGGCGCAGGAGGTGTTGGGCGAGTCGCGGGGCGATGCGGTATTCGTGCTAGGCTGTGGGATATTCAGGTTTCTAAGTCTTTGGATCTGACGAATCTGAAGAATATCGGTTTGCTTCGCTCAGAGGCTGCGGCAGGACGAATTGTTGCTGTCATGATAGCCATTGAGTGTCGGTCTTGGGGCATCGCTCGCCACAGGACGAATGTAATTCGATATCGAGAGGAACCCTGGGGTGTTGCCAGAACAGTCAAGCCTTTCTCGGAGAACGACACCAAGTTTTACAGAGTGATAACCTCCAGGCCCGACGAGTTCTCCGACTACTTAGAATACATTTATTGGGTATCCCTTGGGCTATTGAGAACCCTCATGCAAGTCTCCTGTGGCACACCCCAGAGCTCAAATACTTCGAAAAGGACCCGAAGGTGCATGTGAAGATAGTTGACCAGTGTGCCTTTGGAACTGCCTGGCGCAAGCGCACTCGTGTGATGTCCGGAAACTGCGACGAGATAGATGTCTCATTGTGATCAGTACGTTTGTGCCGGCCGAGGCGTGTGCCAGTTTTCAAAGAAACGTCATGTCGAACTCGAAGGACGAAAAATGACTTCGAAAGCCCAGGTTTACCCACCCAAGTTGTCCCACCTCCTGGCCAAGATCTTGTGCAGTGGTTATGTGTATGGCCGCGCTGTCTATCCATCAACTCGTAAGCTCATATCCACTTGGGAGGGCGATTCGGGAGACGAGGCAGTCAGTTGTTCAGGAGTATAGACTCCGAAGCCTTGCCGTTCCGAGAGAGCCAGCGCGTGATGACGGTGGCTGAGTTGATGAGACACAAAGCTGACAAAAAGAGAGTGCAGGTCCCTCATGTGTTTTTTTTTATGCCGTGCTCCTTCGCGCTTGGGGCATCTTCTGCCGTGTTCCTTGTCTCTTGGGTTCGATGCTTGCTGTGCTCCTCGTCCTCTTCTGGTTTGCTCCTTCGCTCTTGGGGTCTATTTTCCCGCACTCCTTCAGCTCTCGGGGTCTACTCTGGCGTGTTTTTTTTTGTTTTGTTTTTATTTCTGCCGTGCTCCTTCGCTCTTGGCGCCTATTTCGCCGTGCTCCTGGTTAATTCTCCGCCGTGCTCCTTAGCTTGTGGGGTCTATCCTGCCGTGCTCCTCATCTTTATCTGCCGTACTCCTTCGCACTTGAGGCAAATCCAGCCCTGCTCCTTCGCTCCTGGGGTCTATTCTGCCGTGCTCGTGGTCTTTTTCTGCCGTGCTCCTTCGCTCTTGGGGCCTAATCTGCCGTGCTCCTGTTTGTTTCTGCCGTGCTCCTTCGCTCTTGGGGCCACTTCTGCCGTGCTCCTGGTCATTTTCTGCCGTGTTCCTTAGCTTTTGGGGTCTATCCTGCCGTGCTCCTCGTCTTCCTCTGCCGTACTCCTTCGCACTTGAGGCAAATCCAGCCCTGCTCCTTCGCTCCTGGGGTCTATTCTGCCGTGCTCGTGGTCTTTTTCTGCCGTGCTCCTTCGCTCTTGGGGCCTAATCTACCGTGATCCTTGTCTTTTTCTGCCTGCTCCTTAGCTCTTGAGGTCTATTCTGCCGTGCTCCTGGTCATTTTCTGCCGCGCTCCTTAGCTAATGGGGTGTATTCTGCCGTACTCATTTGCTCTTGGGGTCTATTCTGCCGTGTTCCTTGTCTTTCTCTGCCGTGCTTCTTCGCTCTTGGGGCCTATTCTGCCGTGCTCCTCATCTTTGCCTGCCGCGTGCGCCCAGAAGCTCTGCCAAAACGACCACCGCGACGATCCGCACGGCAGATACAGGAACCCGGCAGAACACACAGAGCACACAGAGGCACCGCAGAACACAGAAGCACGGCAGAACAGGTGCACGGCAGAACACTCAGGAGCACAGCGAAACACACCCCGCACGCACGCCGACACGCGCGCCACGGCATACCTGCGCGGCATAGCAACAACAGAGCATGTTCCACATGCTTGGTGGACAAAAACGACGCTTCCCGTTCTTGTCCAGTCAGGTTTCAATACGTCATGTCGCCGTGATATCTACCCAAATTTCATGTCGCGTTTCGGGCGTCTGGGGTCGGGTGCGGCAACAAGGGGGTGATGACTAGGGTTAAGTCGGGCTTGTCCCTCTACAGGAGGAACATTCAAAAATAGTAATAAAATGGTTTTGGGACGATTCCTTGACTATGTTTGATTATTTGGGTGGTATGTTTAACTATTTTAAGTTTTCCGTTAAGAGCCGCCTTTTGGAGGACATGCCCGACCTAAGATTGGGGGGGTGGATGTCATGGCGAGGGCCATGAGATCTACCCAGAATTCATGGCGCCTCTTCTTATTTCAATGCGTCCCCGGCCCCCCCATGGGCCGCGAACGTGCCGCCTGCCGTGATTTTGTCGGGGCTTTCTGCTCACGTGAGCCCGGCTTAAGTCGCGCATGTGCTGTCTGCTCCGGGGCGAGGGCGCGCCGTTGTGTTTGTCGTCTCTTTCGACTTCTTCTGTCTTGTGATCGTTTCCTTATTCATTGTTTTGCCGATCAGCGCGGGCCCTCGCCCCCCCCTCCCCCCCATGGAGTAAATCTTGGCTTTCTTTTGCGCCTGTTTCAAGCAGGTGGGGTCCCCCCCCGCAGGACGCACTGTTGAAAAAACAGTTGCACCGAGCAGACGTCGAGAGCCAGACCCCCCCGAATGAGCAGATGCTCGCCTTCTTCTTCTCCTTCTTATTCGTCTTCGAATGTTTAATTAGTTATTATCATGCTTACTATGTGTATTGTTCTTCTGACTGTTAGTATGCTTCTCCTTGTTGTCCTTCGTCTTCTTACCATTATTTGCATCATTCCTATTATCTGTATGATTCTCCTTCTTTGTCTTCTTTGTCTTATTTTTCTTCTTCCGGCCCGGGGTGGCGGTGGGGACGGGGAGGGCCGCGCGGCCCAGGAGGAGAGGGGGGCGCGGGGCCCCCGGCCCCCGTCGCCGGCCGCGGGGCCCAGCGGTTGTCGGGGGGCTGCGCGGGGCCGCGTCGCGGCAGGGATCTCGGCGCGCGCAGCTCGGGCCGAACGAAAGGGGCGGGGATCTGGAAAGGGAGGGTTGCGAAATCTGCTGCGTGCAGCTGGTCTCGGCCCCGCCGCCGGGCTCATTCCTCGATACATGGGAACCTCCCGTCGCCGGGAGGCGCTGGGAAAATCAGCTACGCGAGCTGATTCTCTACCCTACCCTTTGCTATCCCCCCCTTCGTTCCCCACGAGCAGCGGGCTTTGACTTCTTTTCATAGGGTGACTTTCGGGATCCCGCAAAGGGTGTGTGTGCCCCAGGGGTTTGTGTGAGTTCGACCGGTTCTTGCACCGAACCGCCCGGAACTCACCCCCAACCAAACCACCCCAACCCAACCCGAAGGCCCCGATTTGCCCTCCATGTCCAGTGGGGGGGTATCGGGGAACATTGGAAAAGCACGTGTGGAACCCGTACCCCCCCAACCCGAAACTCGGGTCTTCGAGTTAGGTTGGGGTGGTCTAGGAGGTAGTCAAGAACATATGCCCCCCCCGCCAGCAGCTCCCGATAGTTGCCGATGGGTGGGGAATGCTCGGGGGGCACCTGTTTGCAGCATTTTAGTGCGCCAGCGGATCGAACTCATGCCACCCCTCAGGGTCACCCCTCATTTTGGTGGATCCCGAGAATTGCCCACCCCGCTGTCGCTTCCAGGCAAAACCAAGTCATACCACGCGCCTCCTCGTCAAGCAGCCTGACCGTGGCGGGGTGGCTTGTTGTCGTTAGGTCCCCGCTTGGAAGCGAGGGTGGTCAAAAGCGAGATGGGCTCGTTTGCCTATTGATTCTGCTGGATGTTTAACCATGATGCAGGGCGGGAGCGGCCCGCACTCCTATCCCCAGACATGCGATTCCCTGATTTTTTCAGTGTATTCTCGAGATTCGTCTTCCCCCTCGCATCCCGTATTTTCCTATTTGTTCCTGGGGATCGACGATTATACGTCGGTCGGAAGAAGTATGTAAAAACATGAAGTAGGAAGGCGGATAAAGTAGATTGGTTTCAGGGCCTCCCAGCTAATCCCCTAACACAGCAAAAACAGATCGGTTCTTGAAGTAGGAAGGGCTTCAAATATATTGGGACCTGGGCATCCAATACCTAAATTCAACGACCGGCGTGTATCTGTGTCTGGGTCTTTTTCCCTTTTGAGCCTGGCCGTGGTCACGAGACCCCCCCCGCCCACCCGACGAGCCGAAAAAACAGGCCGGCCCAAAACGCCCTCGCACCGCGCACCGCCGACACGGTGGCGCCCTCCTCGTCCTCCTCCTCCTCCTCCTCCTCCTCCTCCACAATTACTCAATATGAAAATACTCTCCCTCTCCCCCTGATGGCGTCCGGGTGATGGCCGGGCATTATCCGCGTATTGTTTTTTTACACACAGGATGTCCGGGAAATCCCGGGAAACGACTCTCGCTGAGGCGCCGGCATCATTTTCGGGCCGAACGCCCCCCGCGTAGTGTTTTTTACACAGGATTCCCGGGAAACGGGTTTTCGCCTGCGTTTTTTTTGTTGTTATATATAATATATATATATATATATATTATATATATATATATATATATATATATAATTTTTTAAAATTCGCCGGCCCAACGGGCCAGGGCGTGCTAAGATCTCCGGTAACTGGTTAACAGTATTAACCGTATTTCTAGTTCGCGCGCGCGGGGCGGCCCCTGGGGGTCCCCCGGCGAAAAGTACCCCGACCAACGCCCGGTCGCCGCCCGACCGCCGCCCGACCGCCGCCCGACCAAGTCTACTCAGAGATGGTTTTCCTTCTGGGTGCGGCCTCTCAGGCTCCCCAGAGCGCGCTCAGAGTGCCCCAAGAGGCCCCCAAGACTGCCCAAGAGGCCCCCGAGACGCCCAAAGAGCGCTCGAAGACGCCGAAGATGACCCCAAGACGGCCCAAAAGGCCCCCAAGACAGCCCAAGAGGCCTCCAAGACGCCCCAAGAGCCTTCCAAGAGGCCTCCGAAGAGAGCCCCAAGAGGCCAAAATCGTTGATTTTCATTGTTTTTTTCTATGT